GTTTCAGTCTTCCAGAGATTTGAGACTGGGATGGAGGTTCACCTTCCAGCAGGACAATGACCCTAAGCATACTGCTAAAGCAACACTCGAGTGGTTTAAGAGGAAACATTTAAATGTCTTGGAATGGCCTAGTCAAAGCCTAGACCTCAATCCAATTGAGAATCTGTGGTATGACAAAGATTGCTGTACACCAGCGGAACCCATCCAACTTGAAGGAGCTGGAGCAGTTTTGCCTTGAAGAATGGGCAAAAATCCCAGTGGCTAGACGTGCCAAGCTTATAGAGACATACCCCAAGAGACTTGCAGCTGTAATTGCTGCAAAAGGTGGCTCTACAAAGTATTGACTTTGGGGAGTTGAATAGTTATGCACGCTCAAGTTCTGCTTTTTTGTCTTATTTCTTGTTTGTTTCACAAGAAAAAATATTTTGCATATTCTACGTGGTAGGCATGTTGTGTAAATCAAATGATACATACCCACCAAAAATCCCTTTTAATTCCAGGTTGTAAGGCAACAAAATAGGAAAAATGCCAAGGGGGGTGAATACTTTCGCATGTACACATATACTTAAACCAGGCCATTGAAAAGCAGCTTCCTGGATATCTTTGAAGTGATGCAATTGGCAGCACTCAGCATTGCTCAGACCACAACCAAACGAGATCCTCTTCTTAAATGGTGTGATATGATCGAGTATACCGCACTCAGATATTACTGACAAACATATCTGCCCAAGTCTATCCAAGCCCTTTGTTTCCAGTTCCACACAGACTGACCGACACAATCGCTTGTGGAATTGTCTTTAATGTGACATTCCAGCGAAAAATAAATATTGTAAATATGATTATTTTAGCCTTTTAAATCTCATTCTTGCCATTAAGTAACTTCCCAAAGTCAAAAAAAAGAAGAGAAAAGCGAATAACCAGTAATCAAGTTTTTGCAAGTATAGTGACATTCGTAAATTACTTCTGGAACAAGTAATGTCTCCTTAAGATTCCTGTTGGGATGACTCTTTTCCGCCGCTGCAAATACAGTGTGGAAACTGTCAATGGACAACTGGAGTAGCCTCTGGCTCTTACACAAAGCGGAGTAAGGAGTATGATGGCGGCGTGTTAATGCGATTAGAAGTGTATCACATTCTCAAAATACCTTGGCACCACCATTGTCCAGCTGCTCCAATTCATTAACGGCTGCTCAAAATGTGGTGTTAAGTTGGCTGGCTTAGCATGTCTGTTAGCGGCCATGGCCTTCACACATCCAACACTATACCCCCTACTCCCTGGCTTGCATTGCAAATGGCACCCTATTCCCATTATAGTGCACTACTTTTGACCAGGGACCATAGGCCTCGGGTCAAAGGTAGTGCACTACATCGTTAATAGGGTGTAATTTGGGACACAAACCCTATTACAGAGAGGACAACAGGAAGGTCCTTACAGTGCAGGTTGTAGCGGGTGCATCTCAATAGTCTGAAGTGGCATCCTCCTTTCACTACTTTTCTCTCATCCACACGGATCTAAACGAACGAGTATGTTCAGTGTTGCAGATAGAAATGTAATGAATAGAGCGGACATAATTCCATATTCTACATGACAGAAAATCATATCTGGTTGAGACAATACATTTCTATCTGCACGTTCTGTGATGTTACACACTCCTGGACAGGGCCCAGGACAACTAACCTTGGCTGCGAGCTCTGAGAGGATTTCGATTGGCGAGCAATACAGAGAACAAGAGAGCTGAAAATCCTATTTTAAAAATAGGTTATTTCCTTGATAAAATGCTTGAGCATGATACTTCCTTCACTTCCCCATCCCCTCCACAAAATGGGGAGTCTGGATGCCTTCCAAACGTTTTGGTCCGACCACCCACATTGACAAACCTAAAAACCACATGTGCTACACAATTCCTGTCAGCTAATTGAAGAGGGGATCAACATTCTGACCTGAGACCTGTGTTATGTATATAAAAAAAAACAGTTCATGAACTTTTCCCCTTTTACAGTTACTTTTATGTCTCAGCGATAAACTAGCGTTCTGTTCAGGGAGTGTACTTGTACTTCAAGCTGCCTCATGCTACAGAAACAGCACATACTGTGGGCTCCTGCCCCATGGCCTCTTCTGGCTCGGACAAGGCTACTTATTTACTTTGTCTCGAAGATTCAAGACTCAAAACATCCTGAATCACTGGGCATTTGAAGACCCACTGAGAAATAATCAACACTTTGTTTAAAGGAATCGTGGCGTTTATACAGTATTCAGTGGCTAGTTGAAGAAAACTAGAGTTATCAAATGATCAAGTTGTCCTTGGAATTCAGTGACATGAATGAAACCTTGAATCACACAAAACCAATGTCCTCACAGATAGGAATTGCAACTGTGCATTTTATAGGAAATAGTCTGCAAGTCGAAAACACACAGTAATGGGTCAGATCTGGCAGAACTGACAGCAGAGACTGAGAAAATAAGTTCCACATTCAACCCAACACAAAACTGCACTACATTGCAACCTCATGTCCCCCCATACATCTCAATAGGCAAGAGACGGGAGATTGAGATGACTGCTAGTGCTAGATATACAGATGAGGATAACCGAGGGGGTGTATTCAGTAGAGCAAAACGTTCAGAATGTTGCAGATAGAAATGCAATGTATACTGTAGAGCTGAAATGACTGCCTTTGGCTATTGTTCTGTAACGTTGCGCCATCCTGAACAGACCCGAGCATTACATGTCCCATTGAAAAGGTTGGTATTGTATACCTATTCCCAGCACTCACTTCTCTCCAAAAAGAAGCGTTCATATACACTAAGTCTACAAAACATTAAGAACACCTGCTCTTTCCATGAGACAGACTGACCAGGTGAAAGCTATGATCCCTTATTGATATCACCTGTTAAATCCACTTCAATTCGTGTAGATAAAGGGGAGACGACAGGTTAAAGGCTTTTTAAACCTTGAGACATGGATTGTGTATGTGTTCCATTCAGAGGAAAATGGGCAAGACAAAATATTTAAGTGCATTTGAACAGGGTATGGTAGTAGGTGCCAGGTGCACCGGTTTAAGTGTGTGAAGAACTGCAACGCTGCTGGGTTTTTCACGCTCAACAGTTTCTAGTGTGTGTCAATGGTCCACCACCCAAAGGACATTCAGCCAACTTGACAGAATTGTGGGAAGCATTGGAGTCAACATGGGCCAGCATCCCTGTGGAACGCTTTCGACATCTTGTAGAGTCCATGCCCTGACGAATTGAGGCTGTTCTGAGGGCAAAAGGGTGTGCAACTCAATATTAGGAAGGTGTTCCTAATGTTTTGTACACTCAGTGTATACAGGAAGTAAACTTGTTGCCCTCCCAAATAAAGAAACGTGTTCACTACAGGTAACTGCAAAAGGTGGCCATTTTGGGGGGGAAAAAGCAGTGTGGTCATTTAGTCTGCCATTTGAACTGCATAACTAATTAGAAGAAAGAAATAAAGTCAAGTATAGTGATGAAATCAACAAAAAGTTAGCTGCATGTTGTGGATGCACCAGAAGCCAGTTATAGCTTTGACTAAAGCACATGTTGATTGGTATTTTAAACTATGGTAGCTTACAAATGTTATATTCTTTCAAACCTTCCAAGAAATGAAAGATGACATTATTAATCACAACGTTTATATACAAATATAAACAATATATCATGATATCCCAACCAAAACAAACATCTTTGGGCTTAGAAATTAAATTGGAGAAATTATGACAAAATGTCATTCAACAAGACATTGCAACATACAAAAAAGTCAAAACAAAATGTACAATTTACAGTGACTATTTTCACCACAGGTTGCACATGTCCTCATCTGTACAAAACACAGCATTTTTATTGTATGTCCTAAGAATACACAAACTCATAAGACTGACATGGGTCAAGCAAAAATGCAACAGTCTGCCTTTGTGTGGCCCTGTGAGTAGCTACAACCACTGGTAGTTCCTGTTGCGGAATCACTCTGCAGACTATATTTTTTTTAACTTCAATTCCTCAGGCTAGCAAAAGGACAAAGTTAATCAAAAACATTTCTCAGTTCAATTCTAATGCACAACTTTGATTTGGCAACTGAGGTCACCGTGAAATAAATAAGATTCAATGTCTTACATACGTAAGAGTACATTTTCCCCACTAAAATCCAGGCCTGCTTACAATAGATTGATCACAAACACAAAGGCTTTGTTTCAACTTGAGCTGCGGAATACAAGTGAGAGCTTGTAAAAACGACATGCAGCACACTTTGGAAAATTGCCTCGTCATCATCCAATACGTCAATTAAAGTTTTGGTACCAAGAATGGAATATACAATTGTGTTAATCACAACAATTTGAGTCCATGATTTGTGTTCAGCTCGTACCGGTGGGCACTGATGATAAATATTGTTTTGAAGAGGGTAGAGTTGCAAGCTTCACATAGCGGGACGTTTGATTGCCATTCAAGTCATCCGTGACATAAGATAATTTAAATCTTAACGTTGTCATGACAATGCGCTGCTCCACCGTCCTTCCAGAGCCGGAGAGATGCATGTTGTGAAGTGCTTGCACAAGACTAATTCCTTGTTGCTATCACACACACACCTGAAACTCAAATTCAATAAATAAAGACCGACAAATGTGGTAAGGCAGTGTTGAACATGCATCATTCATCACAAAGAAACCCCAAAAATGTAATGTACATACATGGTAATACACATTAGTTTCAAAAGCAAGGTCTCCGTTTTTTTTGTCAAATGTGGAATTATTTCAAGGCTTTCTGGGTGATATTCCTGGTCGACAGGACTCATCTTCAGGGTGACACGACACGCTGTTCCAGTCTGTCGCTCACGGGCTACCCTGGTTGCGTGGAGAGCCAGGTTCCAATGAGCAGAGTGGAGCGACCAGAATATATATATTTTTTTTTTGGAGGGGGGAACAAAAAAAGAGGAAGATTCTTAAGTTCTTCCGACATTGTTCCTTGCAGCAGCCAGCAGCTCCCAGACCTCATGACGTCCCAGACGTTTCCAGGTAACTCTGGAGCTTCCGCACCGTAGTTTTGTCCAGGGAGCAGAGGTCAAAGTCAAAAGTGGTGTTTGTGATGTGGAAGTGTCCAGTCTCCTCGATGAGGTTCACTATCTGTGAGGCGAAAGAAGGCACAGATAGAAAATCAACAAAACACTCAGACTGCAGTATGTAAACCCTAATCCTAGCAAGTACGGAGGAATTGTACACATTTCTTTGTTAAATCTTCCACATTCAACATAAACAGAAACGTTCATTCCATGCATGTTCTCCTAGTAAAAAAGTAGTAGTGCTCTTTCTATGACAGACTGACCAGGTGAAAGATATGATCCCTTATTGATGTCACTTGTTAAATCCACTTCAAAAATCAGTGTAGATGAAGGGGAGGAGACAAGTTAAAGAAGGATTCTTAAGCCTTGAGTCAATTGAGACATGGATTGTGTATGTGTGCCATTCAGAGGGTGAATGGGCAAGACAAAAGATTTAAGTGCCTTTGAACGGGGTATGGTAGTAGGTGCCAGGCACACCGGTTTGTGTCAAGAACTGCAACGCTGCTGGGTTTTTCCTGTGTGTCTGAATAATGGTCCACCACCCAAAGGACATCCAGCCAACTTAACACAACTGTGGGAATCATTGGAGTCAACATTGGCCAGCATTCCTGTGGAACGCTTGACACCTTGTAGAGTCCATGCCCCGACGAATCGAGGCCGTTCTGAGGGCCAAAGAGGGGGTGCAACTCAAAATTAGGAAGTTGTACCTAATGTTTGGTATACTCTGTGTATATTGACCAGCAGCAGAGTTTCCGCCCTGTACGGTGTCAGGGAGCAGCCTAGTCAGACACAATGTTGGACCACACACACAATAGACTAATTCAAAACAAATTTGTGGGAAGCGTCATTGAGCGGTGGGTGGGCTAGTGTTGGTTTTTACTACACCGAATTTGGAATGGGGACCCCCTAATTCACCCCACCGCACTCCTTGCATGTGGAACCCTGTATCAGAGCGGGAGAGGCCCTAATGGGAAATCTGCTTTTTCCTTGGCTGGTGTCTTATTGGTTCCAGCTCTCCTCCGATAGGGAAGTGTGTGTGTATATGTGTCTCTCTCGTGGTGATTACGGGAACTCCGGTGTGTCTGTGAAGCCGTGGCGGTGTTGTAACGTAATGGGTGACCCTAGCCTGATCCGTTTCATACTACAAAGCACCGGTTGGGCCTCCATGTGGAACGCATTTCTCGTCCTCCCTCCCTGAGCGCCGGCTGGACCAGGAGTGCAGGGAGACCGCCAATTGTTATGACATGGAAGATAGAACTCAGATGCTTGCAAGCCGAGTCGCAACACCCCTCTTCTCCCCCACCTGTATCCGGGGAGAGGGAACCACACCAAGATTTCCGGACCTGGTTTTGGTCGGGTAGGACAGCATTTTGGCGGATACTACAGATGAATTTATATTGAAAATAAACAGTCCACATTTTCTTGATTCTTCAAAAAAAAAAAAATTTAACATAAAAAAGAATTACTCTACAATGGCAAAAGCCCATTTTCTAATTTGTGTTTTCCCAAAAAGAGAGATGGGGAGGAAAAATAGCGTTGGGAGGTTGGAAAGTTAATAATTCCCATGTCTCATATTCCGAGTATGTGAAACACCGCTATGACGCTCTGAACTCTCCAAGCGCTCTGAAGATTAGCTTGATTATGCCATGAGTTAATGCTCGGCTCGCTGATGTTGTGTGGGGATGAGTTTTTCCACCAATGCACAGAACCAAACTTTTCATTAGGAGAGCGAGGCCGCTCCATGGCAACGGCGGCTGGGAATCTCCATTAATGCGGTCATATGATAGGCCTTGTGAACATAAGCAAGAGGACGTGTGCTTTTAGATGGAGTGGAAAAAAGGCTAACCAAATAATTAATAATTGCCAGACACCTGTATGAAGTCCTCAATTATAATGTGCTGAGTAACAGATACAGCATGCAGTCCAAACAAAACGACCCTAGCAAGCGACATCTTCCATGCAAACATGAACTACAAACGTACAGGTTTGTCCTCCGAGAACACATGTACAACAAACCCACACAAAAAAACACACTATCGGACCTCACCTGTTGTAGTATGTGCCGCTCTCTCAGCGTCATCAGTCGTCTGTGTAGCTCCACCAGCTCATCCAGGTAAGCCTGAGAGAGAGACGGAAAGCACGGCCCATCAGCATGGGGGGAGTTCAACTAAACAAGACCTTTTTGAACTGGGTCAAATCTGGATTATGTCATGTACGTGAGCCGTGGTTTGATTGAATTTGCCTGTGATGACAATGGTGCCAACTGAATTGTCCCAAAAGTGCAAACTCAAGCAAACCTCAAACTTTAAAGTGTGTATTTGATCGAGGTCTGTTACCTATTCACACCATCTGGGACTATGACAAGAAGAGTAACTGGGCCAAGTCATGATTATCAGGAAGACTGTCTCCTGTCTATTCGCAAGAGCCTTGGTGACCGCAGAGACTTCTTCAGTTTAGGACTGCACATTTGTATTTATTTATTTTACCTTTATTTAACTAGGCAAGTCAGTTAAGAACAAATTCTTATTTACAATGACGGCCTACACCGGCCAAACCCGGACAACGCTGGGCCAATTGTGCGCCGCCCTATGGGACTCCCAATCACGGCCTGTTGTGATACAGCCTGGAATCGAACCAGGGGGTCTGTAGTGACGCCTCAAGCACTGAGATGCAGTGCCTTAGACCACTGCGCCACTCGGGAGCCCATGTCCTGACTACAACAAATGTCCTGGCTACACAGCCATTCAATTACACTGATATGACCTTATCTTTGTAAAACCCAACCACAAGGAAGCTACTCACCTTGTCACAGTCAATGTTTTTATTCTTATCCTGCTTCGTTTGCTTAATGGGGCTCTTCACCTCCATTATCTGCGAGACATCAGGGTTGTATTCATCAGTACACAACGTAGCAATACGTTTCGCAATGGAAAACAAGCGTTTCTTAGACAAGTTCAGGTAGGCCCCTCACAGTTTTGACCAGTTTCCTTTCATTTCGTTCCTAGTGAATACGACCCAGATAAGGAATTACCATACATACCCGCTGGTAAACCCGCTGCTTTGTTTAACCTTTACACAACTGTAATTTACGAGTAGCATTGTGGCTGGCGCACGAGGGAAATGCATCCTGGGAATTACAGGATGCTAATAAGACTGAGGTTTCCCTAGAAGCAGTGTCTAAAACCAATAACAGTGTTCAGTTTCATCATGAGGAACAAAGGTTTCCTACCCCCAAAGCATTTACATAAAACGATTTACATAAGCGAAAAAAACGTATTTGTTCAATTCCGTTTGGGTAATATTTAGCTGCTCTAGGATTTGAAAAATGTGTCTACAATATTGAACATCAGGGAAACCAGTTAATTTGACTGATAACATAGTGAAACCAGATGTAAGAAATGGTCCTCTGACAACAGAAGATGTATTTAAAAGAGTCTGCTAAATAAACCTACTGTTTATAATCGTATTGGTCTTACCTGGTTATTACTGGTGTTTAGTAAAGGCGGGGGCTCGTGTCGAGAGTGGGGAGAGGGGGCTGAGCTGTTCTCACTCTCAGTGCCGTCACTCAAGCTGACCCTGTAGACAAGGAGGATGATAACCATTGGAATACAATGCAACTTTATTACTGATAATGGAACATTATTCAAAATGGAGAATTACTTTTTGTGATTGTTTTTTATCCAATCGAAGAACCACACAAGAGACTAGAAACAGCACAAGGTCAGAGCAGCGTCCCTGAAGCTATTTTGAGATGAAGAGCCTTGCTTAACGGCGCTACCTACCGGCGTTGGCGGTGCGTCATGTGCGTGTGCATTGGTCGCTCCAGGTCAGAGTCCATGTCGTTGTCATCGTCCTCCTCCTCCGATTCATCCTCGTTGTCGTCGGAGTGCAGGTCGTGAATTATCGAACGAAGGGGACCCAACACTGTGTGTAGAGAGAGAACGTTCATTATGGATTTCATTTTATAGTGACTAAACTCATCATGCCCAGTCTTGTGATTCCATCCAAGGACTGTGTAGTCAAGTGTGAGGTTACCTGTGTGGGCTGGGCCAGGGACGGCCCCTACCTTCCTGCGGACGAATTCGGCCACTGTGTCCATGGAACAAAAACACAACGTATGAGTGAGGGGAAGAGATGCAACATGTTATACCCCCTTTGTGGTGGCCAATAAAAAAAGAATGATTGTCATTTCCATGTGATCTGGAGAAAAGTGTGGTGTTACCTTGGCGTTTGTGGCTGGCTGCAAAGCCTGAACTGGAACTTGAACTGGCTGGACTGGGCTGCTCCGACTGGGAAGAGGAGAGAGGGAGAGAGAGAGAGAGATCAGAGACCCATACACTATCAGAGCTCTTCTACATGGCAAATGAACAAAAGCCAGTGCTCACAGAGTGCAAAGCCCCTTGGGTAGGGTGCAAACACTGTACACAAAACACTGAGCGAGAAAAGCATAAGAGTCCGCAGCCCACACTGCAGACTCTGGGGGGGGGGGGGGGGGGGGGGGGTCTTCTTAAAATTGCATTGTTGGTTAAGGGCTTGTAAGTAAGCATTTCACTGTAAGGTCTACACCTGTTGTATTCGGCACATGTGACAAATAAAATGTGATTGGAGATCAAAAAGTTAGTCCAATTATCTACATTATCGTCCATCCTAAAAGGCTTAACAGTGCTTGCTTCCACCGTAAATCTGGGCTTGTCAAACCCAAACCTAGTGAAGCGTTGTAAATCTACCATCATAAGGTTGAGAGCAGTATTCACGCCCCACAAAACACACACGCAAACTGTCACACAGTTGGGCAGGAAGGCAGCCATCGAAAGGTAGACTGCAGCATCTCAATATAAAGGGAATTCTGTTCAATTCCCACATGCAAAAGGCAACACATTTCTGGGGCAAGCCAGGTAGTCTAGAAAATCCCAATTAAGCTCCCGCATACCCATCCACAAATTACATTCATACAGTTGCACGCCCATATCAACAACTCTAGCGGTCTGTTGTGAATTTGGTCCTATTCAGAGCCATCATGCTGACCAAGTTTCATACAAACCAATTCTAATGAGAAAAACATATTGATCACAATTTTGATCTTGTTTTATCGCTGCAACTCCCCAACGGGCTCGGGAGGCGAAGGTCGAGTAATGAGTCCTCCGAAACTGCGTTTCTTAACACCTCGCCCGCTTAACCCGGAAGCCAGCTGCACAAATGTGTCGGAGGAAACACTGTTCACCTGACGACCAAGGTCAGCCTGCAGGCGCCCGGCCCACCACAAGGAATCACTAGAGCACGATGAGCCAAGTAAAGCCCCCCCCCGGCCAAACCCTCCCCTAACCCGGACAACGCTGGGCCAATTGTGCGCCGCCCTATGGGCCTCCCGATCACGTCTGGGTTGTGATACAGCCCGGCATCGAACCAGGGGCTGTAGTGACGCCTCTAGCACTGCTGCGCCACTTGGGATTCATCCACAACTTTTCTACTAGATATGTGGATCTCCCAACCATTCAATCTCTCCTTAGTGCAGTTCCTATTGGGCTTATGGTTATAGGCTGCAATAACAGCTAATATGAGTCCAGAAAGCCTATTAAGTGCATTAAATCCTTAGGAAGACAGGGCTCTGTAGGCAGGCTTGGCACCCCGGTGGCAGAGATGAAAACCCTGGCAGGGCCACTGAGGAGAGAATGTGACAGGTTTACTAGCTGGGGCTCCGGTATTTACAACGCACGCGCACAACATTCACTGTCTCTTCACTGTAGAAATGCTAACGTGTGGCTGAGCAATGGCTCAGTTCCAATACCTTGAAAATGCCTCCTTCCTTCCTTAATGTATGGCCTAATCACTGATTGAACATGGTACCGATTGATGGCAGTTTGTTAACCGAGACAATTTGAGTGAACAAAAAGGGGAGGGGGTGTATGAATAAAGAGGCTCTACAGAGGACATCATGAGATCATGCCTTGTCATATCATGACACTCATTATAGTACCAGGGAGGTGTACCCATCTACTACGCTCCAAATTACACCAGAAGGTCTGTGTTACCTATTACACCAACTTTCATATCAATGTCGGTCTACAACAAAAAGTTGTACATTTTGCCACTGTGTTTTAAGTCAGCGCAAAAGGGGCTAAAGCTGATAGTTCCTTTCAGGAGAGAAAGAGATGAACATCTGCAAGTTACCATTAACTTAATCCTCCTTGGAAGGCTGCACAAAAAGAAATCTGAAGAAGCCATTAAAGTTAATCTGAATTAATTTGTTTACATTCCTCTCAGATGACCCCTTGGAAGAACCAGGCCTGGGTCTCCTGAACAATACCCAACTCACAGAAGTGTTCTGGCCCTCCAGCCAAGGCAGCACAAAGCAGTGATTTACAACCAGGACAGGACTGATGCAAAATGTTTTCAGCTTCTAAACGCTTTATAGGGCAGTCTTATAAATACACCTGTTGCAACAAAGAAACGGTGGATTTAAAAACCGAATGGAGCCTGAATAGAGAAGACAAGCTCTTTTCCTGAGGCAACAAATAAGTAATTCATTGAATTGGAGGATATGGCGGGGCTTCGGTTTCCTGTCTGGCCTGTGAGGTGTGCTGCAAGGCTGTGTACGATGTCCATTCCAAATTGGGGAAGTGTCAAAAAACTTCCATTACCACACACACAAAAAAAACTCCTCCCCTCACTTCTACCAAGATCTGGGCTGAGTATTGATGCTGGCAAGTGGGGGGGGGGTAAGCCCATTAAAATCAAGCCCCCCTGTGGGGTCCGCAGAGTCATGTGGGAATCTTTGATGTTTTGTCTCACCCTTTCTTTTTGGAGCATTTTACAGCCTGTTTGTCTGTCTGGGTGTCTCACCGGCATCAAATGCATGGTCAGAGGCCTTGGTTGTAAATCAAGAGGCTTTTCTCTCAGTCTTTGGTTGTCCAGCCAAAAACGAGACACTTGTAAAAAATTATAAAGGGGATTTCAGCACTTGTGGAGAGAGCCACGTTAAAATCATCTGGTCTGGCATTCGTGCTGTGTCCCAGAGAGAGTGAATTAAAAAGAGATGGTGTGAAGGCGAGAGAGAAGTAGAGAGCGTGAGTGAAGGAGAGAGGAGAGAGCTGGAGATTACCGAGGCCTATCCCTTACCCGTCACCCTACCTTGAGTAATAGCAAAGCAGCCTCCATGTTGTAAAATGGTACATTACTTTTTTTAAAGCTAATGAAAAAGTGACTTCAATCAAAACTGACAGACGGCAACCGTGTGTGATGCAACAGCTGACAACAAGATGCAAGAGAACCAGCCACTAGCTAAACATAAAACACAGAATCAAATAGCCAAACTGCTTAAATTCCCACTACCATTGTAAAAAGAGTCTAAACTAAAGTCAAGAGTATTATTTGTCAGTGTTATATTTTAGCTGGCTCTTGAAGCACTTTGTGTGGGTTATGCCAAACGTGCTAAGTCATCATTGGTTACGGCCTCCATATCTCAAGAAATCAGCCACAACTCATCCCCGCAATATTTTAATGTAAATAAGCAGGGAAGACTGACAGAAAAAGGAATTAAAGGGATAGTTCAGCCAAATGACACAATGGTTGTCTTACCATGTAAGTAGTCCATGGGCATGGTATGACAGCAATCCATGCTTTGGTTTAGTTTTCCTGGCACTGTTTCCACATGCTAACGTTTTAGAATGTGGAACAAATCCCATTCAAGTCATACTCAGAGTCGATATTCCCCTCGACCACGCACACAAATTGGGGAAAACAAACATTCTTTCCCATTGACCCCTACTGTAAAAGAGCAAACTTTGTCGATTTTTTGTTATACAGAAATAACTAAACATGCCGTACATGTAACCAGGTAAAAAATCCCAACCTACGGTTCGCAATGCTCCCACGTAGGGAAATAGAGCCTGTGAGAAGAGCCCTGTTAATTTAAGCTATTCGGTGTGGGAGAGTGAGAAATGTGGGGACCCTTTGTCAAAGTAGGCTACAAGTAGCTATGGGTATAAACCTTTTATCACAGGTAAAACATTTACCTTGTTTAGTATACAGTGATCCCTCGCCACTTCGCGGTTCACTTATCGCGGATTCGCTATTTCGCGGATTTTCATAATGCATTTTTTTTTTTTTTTGGTGCATTGTGCTCTGCATTCTGATTCGCTAAAAACTCACTCCCGCTTCTTGTATCAAAACATGCTACGAATTGTGCTATCATTTTGTCGTCTCGTGCAGTTATGTGTACGTACATAAAACAGCTTGGCAAATTTACATTAAGTTGGCCAAATTATCTTGTAATTTCGAACATCTTCTAAACCCATAATGTCGACGAAACGGCCTACACGTGAGTCACTGTATTTGTATACATGTAATAGTTGCTAATTGTAAAAAAAAAAAAGTTTTCTATTTCGCGGATTTCACTTATCGCGGGTCATTTTCGGAACGTAACCCCCGCGATAAACGAGGGATTACTGTAGTCTGTTTGTAACTCCACTCACTACTTGTAGCTGTATAGTGTTAGCTTGTGCTGTTGGTCTTGGCTAGCTTAATGTTCCGGGTGGTAGCTAGCTAGCACTCACATGGCTGCTAGCACCGTTATAACTAGTGAGAACACTCAGGATCAGGCAATGTTGAAAAGTAATCTTTAGACATGTTGTACTTTTCTTAAATATAGTTTTGAAAATTGACTAAAACAAGCAGACAAGAAAATTGCGTTTGAAAAGGTTTCTGCTGTGAGCCAATGGGGTAACCACAGGTTGTTTTCCCCACAGGAGGGCAGGGCCATGTCGTTCTATCTAATACCGACTGGGACTATGAGACCGATATGCCCTTTTCACCGCATCATGTCCATATCATCCGAAACTATACAAAATTGATTGTGAAACTCAGCAAAGTCACTTAAATGATTTGAACATGATGCGCGAAAAATGGCTCATCGCGCTCTAGCGACTCCTTGTGGCGGGCCAGTTGAACGGTGTTTCCGACATTGGTGCGGCTGGCTTCCGGGTTAAGCTGGCAGGTGTTAAGGAGAGCGGTTAGGCGGGTCATGTTTCGGAGGACGCATGACTTCGCCTCTCCCAAGCATGTTGGGGAGTTGTAGCGATGAGACAAGATCAAAATTGTGTGGGGGGGGGTAAAACTAAAATAAAGAAAAATAAATATTTGTATTTTGACATTTTAATTTCAAACCCAGCTAAAATTGGTTTTTCATGGACGATCCCAATACCGATTTGTAGGGAGAAACAGAGCTGATGACTAAAAGCCAACACACTTTTTTTTTGACTTTTCCAATTCTCCAGCAGAGGTCTATGTACGATAGTACTGTGTGTCTAGGAGTGCATCCTATGAGTGCCTTCCTGGGCTAGACTACAATACTATGGAGGACTAAAAGTGCCACAATTAAATAAATAAATACACCATTAAATAATTACTTAAATGTGTCATTAATTAATTAAAATTAGAATTAAATACATAAATGTGTTATTAAATGTGTCATTAATTAATTCAAATACCGATTCATTTTATGTAAAATACATATATAATAATTTCACTATTTACATTTACATTTCATGGTCCTGCGTTGGAGTGCTTCCTGAATTACTTAAAACTGTCAAACTGACCCATCAAAAGTTGGTAGGCGGAACCTAACGCCTGATTGGTTACCCTCTGCATCAAGCCAAGACAAATCAATTCCGGATAATGTCAGCAGGTCCTGCTTCTACATCCTCTGCTAAGTTTAAAATGTCTCTAACCAACTCCCTGGAAAGTTCACGGAGATCCTCCATTGTCTCTATCCAGGTTGGCCTACTCTACTTCAGACCAAAGCAATGGATCAGACTAGATTCGCGTTAGCCCCGCCCACTGACTTTGATGGGTCAGTTTGACAGTTTGAAGTAATTCATGAATCACTGCAATGCAGGATCATGAAATGTAAATGTAAATAGTGAAATAATTATATATGTATTTTACATAAAATGAATCGGTATTTGAATTAATTAATGATACATTTAATTACACATTTATGTATTTAATTCTAATTTTAATTAATTAATGACACATTTAAGTAATTATTTAATGGTGTATTTATTTATTTAATTGTGGCACTTTTAGTCCTCCATACAATACAGTCTCCAGCAGAATAAATAGGCAATGACAGACAATGCAGCCAAGTGTGTGATGTTTCCAGTGTGTGTGTGTGTGTGTGTGTGTGTGACCACATGGTTGTGTACCTGGGTGCTTTAAACCTCATTCATGTGGAAGACCGAGGGGAAGGTCACTTTGAAGCTAAATGACAGATCATTTTCTTGTCTGATCTGTGGCCCTGAGACACCACACCAAGTAAAGATACATCTACTCCAACACTATGACATGCAACTTCCAGGATGTGTGTATCTGTCTGTATGTCTGCTGACTGTAGAGGCTAAGGCTTAGACAGCAACTCGAATCAAAGCGACTGACTTGCTTAGTACGGTCCAGCCCTGGGAAAACCTTCCCTCCACTACATAGGGGAGCAAGGGGAACACGGGATGGAATTCCATTCAAATTCTAGAGGCTTGCGAGCAGCCACAAATCACGGGCCAGAATAATCGCTTCCCTGGCTATGGGGATACAGCCTCTTAATCTAAGGGCCCGGGCTGCCAAAGAGAGCTCTCTCTAACCCCAGGCTCTGAAACCGTATACCCTTGTTACAGTTTATGAACTTTTCTCAGATCCAAAGACTTAGTCAATGAAGAGACGAGAGCCAAAGATTAGCCTTCATTCAGAATCATTTCAGGTCTTCTAGTGTGTTGGAGTCAAAGACCCTGACAGAGACTGAGTAAATGGACCTCACGTGGTCCGAGTAAGAACCGCCACATCTTAGATGTCAATTTTCATAGCATGCGCATGCAAATTGTATTTTTTAAATATATTTTTTGCATACATATGATTTGCACCTAAACCAGGAAACCTACAGATGTCTTGGTTCAAAAGTTACTTTTGCAAAAGCTGCAGCAACAGAACATCGTTCATGTGACAAACTCTCGCATGGTGGCGGCAGGTGTGTTTGCAGTCATCTAACAATAACTAAAATCAAGAAAATACATAGGTGAAACGTCTTAAATACAGTATGTCCCTAGTGGTGCAGTTATATCCACTTTGCAGCATATGTTTCTTTACCTGTGCTGCAGCGAAGGGAAACTTTCATCAGCCCAACTGATAAACAACTTGTTTTAACGACTTCTCTTCCCAATAGACAGAAGGCCCCCAAGAAACATCCACCATTCCTTTCTAGGTACAGAGAGAGAGAGAAGTGGGGACAAAAGGTATGGAAACTTCAATGGCAGTCACCTCCGACAACAAACAACACACAGCTGGTCTATTGGTTTATGGGCCCGGGCTTCGTCAGTACATCGTAAATCTCACAGCCATTCTGCTTTAGGGGCTTTTGTCTTGCCTTGCTCAAAGCCACCAAAGCAGACCTCTTATAGGACAATAAACGGGACTTTAGTATTAGGATGCCCCCATCAATCTACCCTCTCCTCTCAGAGTCTCCCGAAGCCACCAGTTATTTGCGCTGACTCTCTTGCGCCGGCTCTATACACACTCACAGGACTCTACCCACACATATTACACTAACGCTCCAACACACACACGCTCAATAGTAATGACGCTACATACACTTTCACACGCTTCAAATATGCTGCTGCTACGGTTTATTATTTATCCTGATTGCCAAGTCACTTTTACCCCTACCTACATGTACAGTTGAAGTTGGAAGTTTACATACACTTAGGTTGGAGTCATTCAAACTAGTTTTTCAACCCCTCCACAAATTTCTTGTTAACAAACTATAGTTTTGGCAAGTCGGTTAGGACATCTACTTTGTGCATGACACAAGTAATTTTTCCAACAATTGTTTACCACAATTCCAGTGGGTCAGAAGTTGACTGTGCCTTTAAACAGCTTGGAAAATTCCAGAAAATTATGTCATGGCTTTTTAGAAGCTTCTGATAGGCTAATTGACATCATTTGAGTCAATTGGAGGTGTACCTGTGGATGTATAAAAAAATTTAGACCTCCACAAGTCTGGTTCATCCTTGAGAGCAATTTCCAAACGCCTGAAGGTACCACGTTCATCTGTACAAACAATAGTATGCAAGTATAAACACCATGGGACCACGCAGCAGTCATACCACTCAGGAAGGAGACACGTTTGGTCTCCTAGAGATGACCGTACTTTGGTGCAAAAAGTGCAAATAAATCCCAGAACAGCAGCAAAGGACCTTGTGAATATGCTGGAGGAAACAGGTACAGAAGTATCTATATCCACAGTAAAACGAGTCCTATATCGACATAACCTGAAAGGCCGCTCAGCAAGGAAGAAGCCACTGCTCCAAAACCGCCATAAAAAAGCCAGACTACGGGTTGCAACTGCACATGGGGACAAAGATCGTACTTTTTGGAGAAATGTCCTCTGGTCTGAAGAATCAAAAATATAACTGTTTGGCCATAATGACCATCGTTATGTTTGGAAGAAAAAGGGGGTTGCTTGCAAGCCGAAGAACACCATCACAACCGTGAAGCACGGGGGTGGGAGCATCATGCTGTGGGGGTGCTTTGCTGCAGGAGGGACTGGTGCACTTCACAAAAGAGATGGCATCATGAGGAAGGAAAATTATGTGGATATACTGAAGCAACATCTCAAGACATCAGTCAGGAAGTTAAAGCTTGGTCGCAAATGGGTCTTCCAAATGGACAATGAACCCAAGCATACTTCCAAAGTTGTGGCAAAATGGCTTAAGGACAACAAAGTCAAGGTATTGGAGTGGCCATCACAAAGCCCTGACCTCAATCCTATAGAAAATGTGTGGGCAGAACTGAAAAAGCATGTGCGAGCAAGGAGGCCTACAAACCTGACTCAGTTACACCTGCTCTGTAAGGAGGAATTGGCCAAAATTCACCCAACATATTGTGGGAAGCTTGTGGAAGGCTACCCGAAACGTTTGACCCAAGTTAAACAATTTAAAAAGGCAATGCTACCAAATACTAATTGAGTGTATGTAAACTTCTGACCCACTGGGAATGTGATGAAATAAATAAAAGCTGAAAGAAATAATTCACTCTACTATTATTCTGACATTTCACATTCTTAAAATAAAAAGTGGTGATCCTAAGACAGGGAATTTTTACTAGGATTAAAATGTCAGGAATTGTGAAAAACTGAGTTTAAATGTATTTGGCTAAGGTGTATGTAAACTTCCGACTTCAACTGTACATATTACCTCAATTACCCTACCTCTTACCCCTGCACATTGATTCGGTACCGGTACTCCTTGTATATAGTCTCGTTATTGTATTGTGTGACTATTTCATGTTTAGCACATTTTTCATACTTTTTAACTCTATATTGTTGGGAAAGGGCTCGTAAGTAAACATTTCACGGTAAAGTCCACACCTGTTGTATTTGGCCCAATTTTATTTGAAGTGAGATTCAGGCACAAGATGAACATCGCTGGACTTGGCCAAAATGTCAGTTATTTTGCTCTCGATTCAGTGGGAGGTTGAGCAAACAAGGTCATTTCAATGTGAATTAAGGTGCTGTGAGCTTTCAGTTTGGTCATGTAGTAGGTCAATCTAACAAAAATGACTTTGTTTAACTCGTGGACATGTAGCACTCCACAAACACAAAACCAACCACAAACCACCACTATTGTGCTGAGAAAGGATCAGGAAGGCATGCAACATGTGCAGTGTACACAGCCTACACATTTTGTATCGATGAGGGACCAACTTGTACTTGTACAGTACTTGTGTGTACTGTTGTGCAATAGTAGGCCAATGCTTATACTGAAGGACACAAATCCATGACACTGAGCCTGTGTCTCAATTACATGACAGAAGTTAGCCTAAACTACAAGTCTGTTCATATGATCTACCCATGTGTAGTTGTGGGGCCTTCATTAGACTTTCTCTTCTTGTTACTTCCTCCCTACTTCCTTCCTCCCCTTTGGTGGTTCTTGGTTTCCCCCAGGCCTACACAGCGTGGCAGAAGCCCAGATCAAATGAAGGCTCATGTTAGGCGTGTGCAGGGATATCCAGGACTGGGCCACCAGAGTCGTCAAGGCAGCTCGTGGAGGACCGAGCACCTGGCATTTGTCTCCACTCGCCCTGCACCCACCCCACTTCCCATTTATGACCATATTCCTGTAGGGCAAATTCCTCCCTCTCACCACCACCACACGCACACGTTTGGCTGCAATGGCTCTGCTGGTTCTGGCGGGGAAACGGTTATGGGAGATTCGCGCCTATGGGTGTATGTAATGTATTTGTAAAGGGGCCGGTGAACACACCATGGCCATGAAAGAGAACATTTGAAAGCAAATGGAGAAAGACAATGAGATGCTTTCTGACATAAATGCAGAATGTTTACCACCCTTTTTCCTCCTTTCTAAAGGCAAAAGATTGAAGAGCCCTTGGCTATTCCTGGCGTCCTTTTGCATTCTCCTTGGGTGCCGTAAAACCGTAAATCTCCCAGCTTGCTTTTCTGCTAATAACAGTCCCCACTTTGTTGAGTTTCTTTACTGAACGTGTGAGGAGCTGGCAACCCTCTGAAAGGCCTACTGATTTATCTCAAGGTCTAAATATGACTCCGTTATTCCCATCTTGACACTGACAAAGGAACTAGACTGTGATCTGTAAAAAAATATTTCCCAGCTCTCTAATCCTTTGCACAGAGTAGCAAATTGAACTAAATTGCACAAAGAAATTGTCTTCAGAATGCAACAGTTACTCATGCAACCTGGATCTAGCAGAACAACATTCTAAACCTGCAAACATTATCGTTGCTTTGCATGGGCAGCTTTTTTGGCTTTGTCAAAATGGGGCACTGGGAGTTAAATTCATGGAGGTGGGGTGGTGGTGGTTTAGGAGGTATCCATTTCCTGTTACCGTCCTAACAAAAGCAGCCCCTCTGCAGCTGAACACCAACCATGTTTATGAGCCACCCCTTTGGACTCTGTCATTAGATCTTTATTGCCTGGTCATGTGGAGGATGAGACTGACCAACAGAACAGACCCACTTTTAAAACCAGAGGATTCAATAACCTTCTTCCTGCACCAGGCAGAACCTCCACTCTGCTTCCTAATACTAAACAGTCCAGTAGGCTCTATGGGCATACTCATATGGTAATGTGTAAAAATGCTACAGAGGAAGATTGATTCCTATCGGTTGTTCCTGAATGTGAAGCCGTAACAGTAGCAAAAACAAAATGGACACACTTCATAGCTCCAAAAGTACACCTGGTTTCCAAGGTCACACCTGGTTTCACCACTCACTGATTTGAAGGAAGGGACAAAAACTAGTAGACACTGGCCTTGAGGACCGGAATTGCTCATCCCTGAAGCAATCCTTTTTTTAAACTTAGGTTAACATCTTTTCACAGTAGAACCCAGACGACATGAAAGGATAATTAAACTCTTATTTCCAATGTGGTCAAGACAGACAGCACTAACCTACCCACTAACACAAAATACATATAGGCTCCACTCACATCTGATTTGGTGGACATATTGTCCTCCATGTCCGAGTCGTTGGCGTCCGTCAGCTCCGAGAACGGCGGTAGCGTCGGCGCCTTCCTGCGCTCCCCCAGCGCCTCGCCACCGTCCACCCGCAGTTTAGCGGGCCGCACCTGGGATTTGTCCTTCAGCAGTTTCTTCTCCGAGTAGTGGGACTGTGGGTGCGGCAGCAACGAGCCCCCCGACGGCTTTAACGTCAACTCCGAGAAGCCCTTCTTGCGCTTTTTGGTCAGGTGGTCCTCGCCGTCGGTGATGGACAGTCGCTTGTTAGTCCCTGTCCCATTCCCAGCCCCGTGCGAGTAGCCCCCATCCTGCCGGTGCTCCTTGGACATGGCCTTGGGCTCCTTGAAGCCCATCTTGGGGATGGGGGGGTTGTCCCGAAGAAGAGGCTGGTTCTCTTTAGGTTTCTTGGATGAATCTTTGGAGGCTTTGCTTGGTTCCCTGCCACAGTCTCTGAAGGCACTTTTGGGCTCTTTCAAAGGCTTGTCCTTGTGGTCCTTGGAGGGTTTGTGGAGCTTGGATGAGCTGCTGCTGGTGGTGGTGGTTGTGGTGAGGAGGGAGTCAGTTCCTTTGAAACCGTCCTGCGGCAAAAAGCACAAAGATTAGGTCTCAATTTATTTGGATAGTCTCCTATAGATGGTCGATCAAGCTATCAACTTATATGCATCAACAACGTCTTAGGTTAAGTTGGGTTTTGAGCTACCTTTAGGTTTAATGGATAGTTGAACAGTTTATTGATAGTTAGTGAAAGATCTTAAACATTCCATAAGTGATTATCAGAATAACAAGTTCTACCATTTGGTTTAAATATAGCCCCCACAAGCTATGTACATAACGAAAGGTTAGTTCAGCCCTAACTAACACTATGAGGATTGCACACTGGCAAGAGGGAAGATGGAGAAATCCCGCCTCAGGGTCAGTGGACACGATGGGGCAAACACCTAATTAGTCTGTTTGTCCCACTTTGTTGCTAATCGTCAACATGTCGAAGACCTCAGCTAATTGTAACTCCCTGGATCCATAGCAGACGGTAAGGGCCTAAAATTACATTTTTGACCTCAATGGCTTTTCTATATACCACTTTAATTAGTCTAGACCACAACTGTTGACTAGATATCCAGGAAAAGTGTTAGGGATGATACAATTTGAGGTTTGCCACCAGTGAGATTTGTTGGGGTCAATAAATCGAGAGAAAAAAGAAATCACACTACTGGGGAGTATTTACTTGGCTTCCAGCGCAGAAGGCTTGATTACAATGCTCAAATCAATACGCCCCTGACAAATAAATGAGCAAAGAAAAGGTTTGGTCTGGTCATGGCATTTTAAAAAGGAGTCTTAATACTTAGTGTTCATTTAGAGAAAGCCCTTTTGCCACTCTGGGGCTCAGTACTACTCGGTCAATAAAGAGCAAGTCTATTCTAGAAGAAAAGAAAATAAGGTTTACTTGAGAAGAGAGCTGTGAACTTGTTTTGTCCAGAATGTGGGGGAAGGGAGGGAAGACTCAACAGCTGTAAGTGCGACCTTAAAAGTGGCGCGGCCGGTGAGCAAACCTGGAGATGGAAGCGACTAAAGCCAGTGCATTTTCTTTTCTCTAACTAAACGACACAGGCTGTTTGTCCCGGGGTCACGCCTGCTGGCCTCACGTCAATATTTCATCAATGCCATATAGCCATTAAGCAAGTCTAGACGGACGGGGGGGGGGGTTACGACCTGCCTAAACTACCTCCAAAACCCTTTTATTTTGCTCCTGACCCTAGGACCTTTTGGACGTAAAGCTGCTAACCCGCTCACACAAAACTACTCCCACCAACCCCCACCCCAACAAACACTCTGGCTGCCCACCCCCCACGTCCCCAGGGCCAAAAACTTTAAAGGCCGTTTATCGCAAAGTTTTACTGGTCTGAAAGTGATGCTCTTCACCAATAACAGTTCCAATACATTAACTGGCCACAAAAACAGCACCCAAACCCCCCCCCCCCCCCACTGGTACTAGGTACTCCACATAGAGTATATGGATGTGTGAATCATACACTTTACTGCATTCTACTTGTTACAATGACCTGCTACTTAGCGCTATGTACAGAGAATATTACTTTCAAAGCTGCTTATGCACCTTATAACTGTCAAGGCAATTGAGAAACTAACTTGTTCTTAACTCCAAAACAGCACAATGAGTAATGTGCAACAATTGAGTTTTGGTAGTTTTGTTTCGCCTATAACAACGCACTTACATTCAAGTAAAACTCGACAGACTGCCCATAGCAAATCATTAACACTTCAAAAAGCCATGTCGGGTACAAGTGAACCGGAGGGAGAGGAGACAACAGTAGGTGGGTTGCCATTGGACGTTAGTAGAAGATAATGGTAGAACTACTGTGCGTGTGTGACCTCTCTGCTCCATCAGTAATCCATCACACACACACAGTCTGTTTGGATTGGAAACCGTTTCCATGTGCACTGGGCCTCTCGTAACCCAGCCCTGCCGGAGTGGGCTCTTCCAGGCCGCGGTAAATGATACCATTTAAAGGGCCTAAATAGAAGCAACATGCCAGTTTATTGACATGTATGATTTACGGCCATGACGGATAATACCACATATGCATCTAAAAATCGGCTTTCTGAGACCGCTAGAGAACAACTGCATCACAATGAAACACTGATGTGTACCAAGCTTCAACAGGCTTTAAAACTAAAGTGACTTTTATATACTGCCTAATTGATACATTATGGGCGGTGCTATAACCGTCATTGGTAGCATGGGACCCCAGTGTGTCTGTGGAAGTCATTGAGAATAGGACCATGTGGCCTCGTGGCATGTGGCCCGAGTTGAACGTCTTTTGAAAATCCACAGAGTTTAAATACCCTCAACATCCTTGAACCTAGCCAAGTATGCTGCGTTTATTTATTATTAATTTTTTTTTGGGGGGGGGTGTTTGATGAAGTGGGAATTCTTTGGGAAGAGGAAGGGAGGGGTTGAGGAGAGGTGGTGTCGGTCTAGCCCTGGTCTGTACCTGGAGACCGCCACTGACCTTTGACCCTGGGAAGGCCTTGCTTTTCTTAGCGTCTGAGAAGGTCAATGTCAGGGAGTTGCTGGGGAGGGTGGGCAGCTTGAGGTGCTGGCCGAACAGAGATGTGGAGCCCTCCTGCATTACCATCACCTGGAAGTAAAACGGGGTCATTTAGCCAACACCTTCATCCAAAGTCACCTAAAGATCATAGGGACACATAATTCATATATAATGTAGCCTGTGGGAATCAAACCTACAACAGAAGAAAAATTATATAGTAATAACACACTGCAATATAAACAGCAGAGAAATTATCAGAATGAGATTGTCCTGATGTGGAAAACAGTTTTCTATTGTATTATATTTTGTGCTCACATGGTCTGGGAGTGAAGAGCTTTATGAATCTATTTGAATATCAAGTACCGCATCAATTGAACAGTTTCATAATTCCTGCTTATTATAGTGGCTTCTGTGTAAAACTAAAGACTGCTTTTGTTTGGGGGAAAAAAAAAAGTATTAAGGCTAACGGATTATTGTAGTGTTCTTGTCGATGCCAAGAGCAGCAACCCTCCTCAAAAAAAGATCCTCGACCACTTAACACGGCACGTTATTCCTGGAACCGCTCACAGACAGTCATTACTTTGCATGGAATGACAGTGAGCACGCGCGAGCAAAGAAAAGACAACACAGCTGCTTCCCTGTGTGTCTAAATTTGAGTGTGCGTTTGTTTGGTGTCACTTCAACATAGCAGCCGAGGGAAGAATAAAGACATTTCATGTCTTGCTTAGCGGCAAGAGGTAAACAAAGGGTTAAAGTTACACTGGGAACATGAGGCCCGTTTCTCTGAGGTTGAACTGATCTGCTGTGAGTCAGCACCAAAACTACTCAGTAAGCATTTCCTTTGATACAACTATCCCTACCTTCCAGTCTTTCCATTAACCTCTCTCCAAATGAAACAAACAGACGTCAAACTCTTTTAGGAGGAGGATAACAGAGCTAGGCGGGGTGGGTTCTGCCTTTACAATGGTAGGGGAAACACTGGGTCAACAACATGGGGAAAGTCTCAGATATAATAGAAGCTTGCCCAAATGTGCATATTGGATACAGGTCTTGGATAGAAGTCTATATTGTCAGATCCAATCGTTGAATGTCATAGTGAGTGACCAATAGCATTGCAGCTTCAGTATCAACACATTAGTATGTGTAAACATCTCTATTGGAAGAAGGAGAATGTTACAGTTCACATGATTAGTCTTACTTGAGAGTCTTCCGAACTTCTTTTGTGAGGATCCCGTTGCTGTGAAGGACACATAAAGCATGTTAGTGCACACACACCAATCAGCTCTATTGGAGAAGGCCTCAAAACCTCCCGAGTAGGCTGAATAAATGTCGCTCTGGCAAACCAGTCCCTTGTTAATTAAACCATGTCAGTCAGCGCATCCGTTTCCAATCTTATTTGTTTCCTCTGAAAAGGCCTGTAGACATTAAGGTGTATGATGTCATGCGCAAAGACAAAAAGCATTGGTGTGTTACTGGAATTAGCATGGCAGTGGCCAGCTAAAAATAAAAACACACCCATGACCTTGCAAATTGCATATGTTCCTGAAGCTATTGTCCACTGAAAAAAACAAATAAATTCCGAAATTGACATTTCTATGTGGGCACTCAAGGCTCTCGGGAGGGCAGTGGGAAGAAAGAAAAAAACTAAATCAAAAGCACTCAGTTCCGGTTGTAAAACGTCATGACAGTAGTTCCGATAAGCCCATTTGACTGCCAATGGCTGGCCTGATAAGCCCATTCGCCTGCCAATAGCTGGCCTGATGTGCGACCGACATGGTTCATACCTCGTGGCCAGCAAGGTCAAAGTTCTTATGTCATCTGGATGTTTTTAAAGTGCTACTCATTCCATTCAACTTCTGATTTGTCATTTAATAATTTACCTCTCCAGGTGTTGGCCATACTGGATATGAAGACCTATTCTCCAGCTCTGCTCTCACAGCTGAATCAGGTGTTCAAGCAATGCTGGGGCAAAAGCCTACCTATCCAGTATGGCCACCTATGCTTAAGGCTATTAGGATAAACACCCACTATTGAGATGCACCCCTGGTCAAATTTCCCTCTCCCACCCCCCAGTCCTGTCATCTCATACCCCGCCGGCTTTAAGCAGCTTCCTGCGGAACTCCTCCGTGGGGTTGTTGAAGGTGAGCTTCTCGCAGCGCAGGTGATTGACAGGCGGGTGGCCGTCCAGGTGTAGGAACAGGTCGTAGTCGAAGCGCACTTTCTTAGGTTCTTCCTGAGAGGTGCAGTGGGACATCCGTAGGAACAAAAGAAAGGAGAGAAGTCAGTTGCGTACCAAAGTCCAAATGGTAAAAATTGATATATTGATAGAGTCCTCTTTCGTACAAAGGCAAAGAAAGTGTTAACCATCATAGTCGGTAAAAAGAACTACGCAAATGAAAAAACTAAAACACTTTGGGGGGCATTACCAACTTTTTAAATGCTATTTTTAGATTATTAAAGCTCCCAATATGGGATGATCATAGTCTCTGATACAGCAGGTTTTAAGCCAAATGTTTACAGGTTGCAATCTTTAGTAAGCAATGCAGGTCGAAACATTGTTAAATGTACCTTATTTCTGAAGTAAACTTCAATGGGCAAGATGAAGCCTGCGTATCCACACTCCTCCACTTTATAGGGTGGATCCTTGCACACTGAAATATAGAGAGGGAGAGAAAAGATTTGCTTTTCACTCAATGCTGTGTGCTCACTTGTAAAGACGTAATCCTTAGTCCTCTGAAACAAACAAGGATATGAATCCCGTGTTCTCCCTGTGTCTCCTCACCTCCCAGTGTTTCTAATGTGTCTGTCACTAAAGCCTTAAAAAATGGAGGGTGATTCTCCATTCTCCTTCTTTTATCACACAAATGTGATAAAAGAAAACAACCAATCTAATCCCAACTACAAGCAACAGCAAAGTCTCAAAGTACCAAATATATTCCTCTTAAACAAAACAAAAAAGTATTTAAACCTACATATTCATAAATGTTACCTTCAGATTATAAACAGAAAGTCCTTAATGTGTGTATGAGACATTGGCACTAATGGGAATTGGAATGTCTCTTGCTGCCAGCCACACTCCCTCACAACTTCCCACTGCCAAGGTTCTACCTGAAACCGCTCCCTCTACTGGGATCTCATTAGAAACATGAAGACCATTTCCGCCACCAATCTGATGCAACATGGATATCAGAAACTCTGGGCTAATATTAGATATACATACATCTCAAATCCTGGGATCCACCTGGCAGCCCACGACATGAAAACGCTTGGTTCCCATCAAGCTTTTCAGGACAAACAACCTACGCTCCAGGTCAGATGACCCCCTCGGAGACACCTGTTTGTCATTCTCTATGTCCCAGGGAGCTTTGCAGCAAGACTGCCAATTAGTCTGCATGTTCAGTCAGTGTGTGTATTTACTGATAGTAAGGCATCTGAAAGGCAAATTTAAGAGCATCTACTAGCTCCCGTTCAACATCTTTTAGCTTTTGTTAGTCTTTACGGAGTAGTACACGCAGCAAAACCATAATTGTACAGATTGTACATTGATAAAGCGCTAAGTAACTGTACAATGGGCTCCTTAGCTCATTTAGAGGAGTGGTATAATATACATTCAGTCATACCAACTCTGTCAAGGTCAGACAATAGTCTTTTAAAAAGGCAGTAAAAGCGGGGAATGGCAGGGCACAGCATGACACAGACAACCAACAGGGATAAACAAAAAACATCCAGAGAAAATGGGTTTTAAATGACTGCATTCGCCACCAGTGTACGCCAACCATTCAAACGTGCCAAATCCGACAGAAAAATAGAGAAACAGTTCTCTAAACGTCAAAAACCATTGTCGGAATGGTCAAAACAGTACTCGTCCCCTAGAGAGTCCTGGCTGGCAGTAGCCTAGTACAGAGAGAGAAAAAGCCAAGGGGCCAAACTGCAGCGTCAGACAGGAAGTCAGTTGCTCACGTTACACCAGCTCTGAGCTCCACCCCCTTCTGGGTGACTGACGGCTCGGATGGCTAGACCGGAGTCGACCTCACCGCTGGGGTACGCGCTGCCCCAGAACCCAATAATGCTGAGCAAATATTGTGGGTCGTGATTAATTGCGTGGTCGGGTCAGGTTCAACTACATGCGGCTAAAAAGGTTCCATTCACCGTAGCCGGCCGGACTTATTTATGTAGAACCTGGAAAATATGGGTTGAGCATGAGATGAGCTGCACCACCCAGAAACATAGCGTGGGATAATCTGGGTTCTGTCTGAGCAGTTCTCTTCTGTGACATAATTAAGCCTCCAGATTATTTTCCTATGTGGGGGTGAAGTGGAGAAGCAGGTTTGTCGACCTAAGAGACTGTCTGGAAGGTGGTTTCTCTGAGGGTTAGCTAGCTTCAACACCTGGTCTCCCAGGTATGTTGCTACCTCCCACAGTGTCTCCTACTCATTGCCCAGGCAAGATCACCCCCATCATTTAACACAGCAAAGCGTAACAACCCATTCACCACATGACCCTACATAGGCCTTTTCTCAATTAGATTTGCTCAACTCAAAGAGGGGAGGACCGTCTTCCGTTTGCCTACTAACGAATTGACACGCATCTGTTTCCGGGTCATGGAGGAGAGAGGACTGAGGACGGACTTTTGACCAAATAAAAAAAGACCATAGTCTTGATTGCCCCCAAAGTCGTTAGGGGCTGTAATGTACATTTTTTGGATTCGTCAACCAATCAAGAACACAGCTATTTCATTGTAGCAGTTGTGTGGCTTCTTACATATCGAATAAAATGGTTCACTCTATAGACTTTGTTAATCACCACAATCCCAATGTTTTGAAACTCTAACCAAGACATTTATAACATTCCCCACTAGAATTCAGGCTCAGACACACTGCGACGAGTGGGTGGCCGCGCTTGGCCATCCTATCGCTTGCTGTACTTGACCATCCCATGTTATTGTGCATTTCCTCTCTTAGCCTATACCAGTAGACTTCGCAGTATTTCAATGCAGGATCCCTGTTCCGTAGTAAAACTCATGTGGCAACAAAACTGGACAGCAACCAGTGGAGAGTAGATCACCTTTACAAGCAGTGCGCTTCTAATCTACACATCATAGCAGCAACAAGTGACCCTAGAAGGAATTCAAATTGATGAGAAAAGATTTACCGAGCCAATACATTGGCTATGTTAGCATCTCTGTGTGTCACATCAGACAGGAAAGGGGAAGAAGGAAAGCAAATTAAATGACTGAGCTTTGAGAGGGGTTTGGCTTGGCGGTACCATCTTGGCTATGGTTCCCTATTCGAAGTTGAAAAGGTCACTGTACATGTGAAGACGCAACTGGAAGGCAGGTTAGCGTTTTTCGTAATGAGTGGTCACTAATTGGCACAGCCAAAAAGTTACAAAATCTGATTTTAAACCTAACCACACTGATAAACCTAATGCCTAACCTTGACCTTAAATTAAGACCAAAAATCATATTTTTGTTTTCATGAATTATTTTCATATAGACCATTTTGACTTTGCAGCAGGCCCATCTAGCAGAAATCATTCAGTTCTGCCTACAAGACTCATCCCAATAAACATCAACCTGCAACTGGAAGAGCGAGGTGCACAATACACTCATTGACCTGTAACAGGAACTTTGACAACGATTAGAGCAAAGTTCGGAAGGGAGAGAGGGCCGGCCTTTTTATTGAGCAGGCCCGAGGCACTCCCCCCGTGGATCAAGCCGCGATGTCAATCAAAGAACAATGCATTTGCCATTTCCCCAGAGACTGGTTTGTAATGAGCCAGAGTTGGACGACAGAACTGAACAGTAAAATTAAAAAGTTTAAGACATCTTGCGCCTACTTCACCAACTGCTCCTTCTGCTCATGAAATCAGATTTCCCCCCTTACCCCTTGCACCCCCTCATCTCAAATGGCGAGTGTTTAACTTAATGCGCCTTTACTGCATCGTGCTTAGGATTAGTGCCATCATCCAATTGAGTTGCATAGAGGTTAAGAGCGTTGGGCCAGTAGCCGAAAGGTCGCTGGTTTGTTCTGCCCTTGAGCAAGGCACTTAACCCTTATCAACTGCTCCCCGGGCGCCGATGACGTGGACGTTGATTAAGGCATCCCCCCGCAACTCTCGGATTCAGAGGGGTTGGGTTAAATGTGGAAGACACATTTCGGTTGGATGCAGTCAGTTATGCAACTGACTAGGTATCCCCTTTCCCTACAGGTTTAATTGAACACTTTCCCTTCCCTAACAGATACACTTAACCTCTGTAAGGTAACTGTTAGAATACAGATTATCCACTTACACTATGCGGAACTTTACCCTAAGGCACTTTCTGTCAAGTTGATTCGTCAAAGAGGCTGAATTAAAAGATTTCGTAGAGGACATGCTATCATACTCCATATTATAACATATGGTAGAGAAGAGCTTGCAGCTCAGAAAGGGCCTCCCGTCTGCCTATGGAACAACAGAAACCAGAACATACTGGTAACTGGTCAAATATCGACACCTATACAACATAGTTATATTTTAAGCTCTATTCAACGGCGATCAAGCTTGCAGTTTAAAAACCAGAGTAATTTGAAAGCTTGTCTTTAGTCTGACTACTTCTACTGGTCGACATTTGGTCCATGACTCAGCTGAAACACCATTATCCATGACTCCGCAGCCTCGCCAATAACGTTCCTGTTTCTGTTGTTCCGTAGGCAGACAGTGCACTAACTGTGTTGCATCATTTAATTGGAACATCTAGATTCCAGTGTCTAAAAATGGCCATCAAGCCACAGTGAATGACGTCCATTTTTTATTGCACGTCCCAGCTGTGAGGTCTTGAATAACAGCCCGTGCTGTGCAGAAAGGTCAAGCGTCTTCCCAACTGGAAAGGATAGCACAGAGGTGATTTCAAGTCCATTTTTAGGTCCAACTTTAATGTTGTAATTCTTATGTGTCTCCTTTGAACTTGCTATGAGAAACAAGAATTACAACAAGTGTTGACAAAAGCTTTGTTTAATGTGTCTACAAGTTATGCTTTGCTTAAAGGGTCTAAATATTCATATTCTAAATTGTGAACTCCCAGACTCTACAGAATCAAATGAAGTTGTGATAAGGAACAATGATCATTCTCCTGAAACAAACTTCTGGACAGCGAGTCTGCTTACATTGAGACTATTTAATGGTGGTGTGAGCTGCTCAATCTATGGAGAGTAATGATTAGATGCGCCGCAGGGGTGAGTCCTCAGTCCGCTGCTGAACATCCTCCCTCACCCTCCCCCAAACCACCATGCTCACGATGCTCCACACACGGGCCAGTGTACGCACGAGGAGAGGTCACCTGCTCCTCTTTGGACTAATCGAGTTAGCAAGGGACTTAAGACGCAGGGGGCCAGTTGCTAAGCTCTTAGGTAAAAGCCAACACCGCAAAAAAGGTGTCACCCAGGATATCCCCTGGTCAAGCAAGTGCCACAGGGGCAACAGGGCCAAACAATGGAAGGTGGCAGGTTATGGCCTTAAAAAGGAGTTGACTGAAGAGTTCCAAACAGTATTGCGCAATGCTCATGTAAAGGGGGGTGGAGTGTAGACCATGCGGTGGTCTTCATCAAATCTGCTCATTCATTTGGCCAAGCTGCGGCCGACCTGAAATAACAAACCATTTGCAAAATGAAATTGGTCTGTCGATAATTGGTCCCAGGCATGGACTTAATTACCACAGGTCCAACGCTCTCCTCTCCCCGTTCACATCCCCCTCCAGCTTTTTTCTTCTGCACTGTTGACCTATATGACTGGCTGCAGACTGATGTACAAGCCCATGAGCAGCCCTAGACTGATTACAGAAAAATGCTAATCTAAGCATTTTCATTAGGACCTCATTGCCACAACATGGGTGACAGTCTGCCCAATCAAAAAGGGGAAGGAAGTGGAATGTGATCTGAAGAGAACCGGAACTAACAATCTAGAACTAGGGGGAGTTTATTTATCCTCATTCTCTATCCTTGTATCAAACACTAGAGTAATTCTTCAAGCAGGCTGCTACACAAATACCTGAAAGTCATCAGCACCAAAACTTGTCCTTATAGTTTAAGACGGTTTAGTGTAGTTTTGACCACTACTGTAGCAACAGGAACCAATCCTGATCTGGCAACTCATGCGCTAATCAAAGACATAAAGCCTGTTTCCTGCTGTTCATATAGGCAGTTTGCTCCCATTTGCCAATGCGGAGTGGAAGTTTGAATTAGTGGAGAGAGACGCTCCAATGCTCAGACAAAACAACCATGCAATGACGAGAGGAATATTAGAAAACAGGGGGCTAACCAGGGATGAGAGTGCTTCCCCAAAGCACACCTTGCCATATGGGGGGTGGGGACTCAAAACACAAAAAGGTGTGATTCTGCACCTACCACATTGGAAGACACCAAAGACGGGGAGGGGGTTGTGTCCCTGAAGCTACAGGGTGTCATGGTAGCAGCTCTCACATACACAAAACACTCAGTGGGATGTGGTATTTCTCCTAGACTGCCACAGGTCCTGAGAGAGAGATTGAGACCTCAGGGGGAGTACATGAACAATACCAACCTCGTAACATAATCATAAACATCTGTCACTCAGATACGGTGGACCACCTCCTCAAGCCTCCCTTACGACGTCATACAAGTCATTCTTACTATTCTACCTGATTATAGTACGGGCACCATCAGTGCAAGGAAAGAGTATTTTAGGTGATGATGGTTGGATCTCCTGAGAATAGGCTGGCCTACTCCATCACTACAGCATAAAAAAAAAAAAAAAGGACGGCTTCTTCAAGTTCCCTCTAGTGCCTTTCGGTTTCCCCATGGTTTCTGCACATATACCCCACCCCCTTTTGTTCTGAAATAGACAACCACTGATCTCTAGCCTAGATCATGAGGGTGCAACTTCCCGTCCCATACACCCCTCTCCTCTACTGATCCAAAACAGCTGAATGTGAGCGTACTGAATGATGATTCACAGCTGAGAGCACTGAGGGAAAACACTAAACACTAAGCTTAACAGTCCATGGCTGACCTCATCAAAGTAAACCCCAAACG